ACTTGACTCAGCATTTACAAGCTCCAATCATCAAAGAAATTATTATTATTACTCTTTGACCACTAAAGACGTGTTTTAGGTTAATTTTATTATTCAAAATCCAATTTTTAATTTAATCTTCTTATATAAAGAAATCTTATCGATAGTTTCAATGATTCTACTGGACACAAAAATTTTAATTAAATTCTTTTGTACTTTTTCAGTGTTGAAATTTTTTTTCGATTTTACTGTAAGATTTATCATCTATTGATAACAACATCTACTCATTTATAAATTCGACTTTATAAATTAGAAATTTTTGTAAATGCTCAAAATTTTTCGGTTCTTGCTCTATTTCCTCATTTTTCCAATTCTTGTAATTTTTCAGTCATAAAAACTGATTAATTTTAATAAAGCACAATATAGTTAATTTTTAACAATACGAGTTATAAAATTTAAATTATTTTTTTGATCGGATCAAGATTGTGACATTTTAACCATAAATTTAAGTTTGTTCTAAAAATTTCTGACAGGTGGCGCATGGTAGCCGAAAATTCTCGCTTCTAAACAGTTGACCCGGATGTTTCAAGTTCCAACCAACCAGGCTACACTATATTTCACTTTTTGATCACTTTAGAAATTTTTCAGATTAAGCGCTCACCACATAATAATTAATTTACATTTTTTGAGATTTAGTTTTAATTTCAATAATTTAGTAGGTAAATTAATTTTTTTAAAAGTCAAAATTAATTTACGACAACTATTAATTCTTTGTTGAAAGTTGTTTTGTTTTCCACTTCTTTCATCATTCAATTTTCTTGAAATGAAATTTAGTTTCTTTATATGATGAAGTGCAATAAAAATTTTATAGTTATTAAATTTTTCTTCTAAAAAAAATATAGTATCGTCAGTTGGATTTAATTGATTCATTTGTAAAATTTGCAAGAGGTAGTTTTATTATAACGTTATTTTACGGTAATCCAGATTATGATTTTAGTTATTTCTGATAAAGAAAAAAATTAGAAAAACGGTTGACCCTGAAGGCCATCCCTGCACCTTCCCGCTAATTCCATACTTAGGCGCTTAAAATTGCACCAATGACATTATTGAGCTCTTCGAGCTCAAAAATACAATTTATCGGTCATTATGAGCTCTCCGAGCTCAAAGAGATTGCTTTCCTATGCTTTTGAGCTCTTCGAGCTTGTTCCGTCGTAGACATATATTTTTAAGATAACATTTTAAATTAATTGAAATAATTTCATATTTTTTATCATAAGCGAAAATTGCTACGCTGTTTGAAAAATAATATTTTAGATTTAAATGTAGAATTTAAATCCGTAGTTTTTAAATACGTTTACTTGATGTTATCTAGAAAAAGGTTCATTTCTTTGTTCGATTTTATTTATGACTGCAAATTTCCCAGACTACGTATTGCAGCCTATTGCAGTATTAGTCTAGACAACTTTTTTGCCTCTTATATTTAATTTATTTTCTAGCCCTAGAATAGTAAATAAATTTTTAATGTTAATTTTTGGGATATTTTTCCTAAGTATTCTTAATCTGCTTATGATCATAAATTTAATACCTGGGTTATATTACGTTCTGGGTTTTTACTTTGGGTAAATTTTGTATTTTAATCTTTTAATTGCTAACTAAGTTCAGAAATATTTTTGTAAACGTATCGCCCATCCAGGTAAAAATCTTAGCTTCCAAATTCCCTTTCCTGCTTGTTTTTCCAAACTGCACAGCTTACAATTATCCCGCCTCCAACTAATTTCCTGGTCAACTATTCGTTGCCGAATATTCCTACTCCTAATTTTTCCTGCTTGTGATTGTAACGCCTAGTTCTTACTCTCCTTGTAATAATTTTTGTATTTTCTCTAAGTTAGTCATTCTTACATACTTTGTAACGCACAGTCGCATTTTTTGCACTTTAAATAAATTTAAGTAAAATTAAACCTCATTGCCTCATTGGTTTTTACTTGAAGCAACCTAATTGTAAGATTGCCCACATACCTTGTGAATTAAATATTTAATTCACAAACAACCTCCATTAATTATTTGGTATAAAATATAATTATTAATTTTATACGTAACCCCGTGTAAAAAAAAATCGTCTTAAAATTGTCGTTCGTTTAAGATCTTAAACGTGACACAAACCAAGACTATTTTGAGATCCTTTTAAGACACCAAAAAAAAATTTCGCGAGCAAATTTTTAGAAATTTGGCTCTCGAATTTGTTATGAAAATTAAGTTTTAGACATTTTTTAGACGATTTTACGTCTTTCTAACCGCAACATTTTTGAGGTCACTCTTCTTAAATTGTTGAAAAATTTTTATTGGACAATTTTATGACTTTTTTTAAGATCATTTTGAGACCATTTTAAAACGCCCTATAATAATTTTCCATAAGTGAAAATTTTTTAATGATTTTTTTAAGACTATTTTAAGATTTTTTCAAGACTATTTCAAGATTTTTTTGAGATTGTTTAAAGATAAGTTTTTAGAGCTCTGTCGCTATGAGCTCATTCCAAAATAGTCTCTAAAAATTTTTTTAAGACCATTTTGAGACTATTTAAAGGAGCTTTATAATAATTTTCCGGAGCTGCTGTAATATCTTAAAATATCCTGAAAATTTTTTAATGATTTTTTTAAGACTATTTTAAGATTTTTTTGAGACTTTTTTGAGATTTTTCTAAGACTGTTTAAGGAGGCTCTAAAAATTTTTTTCAAATCATTTTGAGACTATTTAAAGGTGTTCTATAATAACTTTCCGGAACTGTTGCTGTGATATCATTTTAAAATAGCCTGAAAATTTTTTAATAATTTTTTAAGACTATTTTAAGATTTTTTTAAGACTATTTTAAGATTTTTTTTAGACTATTTTATGATTTTTTTAAGACCATTTTAAGATTATTTTAAGACTGTTTAAAGACGCTCTATAATAATTTTTCGAGACAGGGATAGTTTGAGAGGTGACACATGTTTCTTATTATTGAACGATAATATTTCGAGGAAATACTCTTTATTAATTATTTTACGCCATGAATTACATTATTTTTGTTTTCTATTTTTTTTTTTGACGAAATCTTTTAAAACCATTTTCTTCTTTGTAATAGCAGTTTCTTTCTCATCAGCTTCCTGATTATCTTTCTGATCTTTCTCCTTCATGTTATCTTCTTGTAGTATACCTCTTCTTGTTGTTTTTTTTTTTTTTTTCATTCTTGAATTTTATTCTTGCTGCGTAGCATGCATTTGTAATCACACGATTGAAATCTCCCAAATCCAGTCTTAGTTTTCTCCGTGTATTCCAGTGTACATATTCTGAAATTTAATGTTCCGTACACGATAATAATTATTTTCGATACATATGCGCAAAGGTAGGGATTTCGACGGCTTGTAGTGATGTCACAAGTTTGAGGCTATGAGCGCATTACTATCACGACCCAGTTATTTATCGGACGAGCGTAGCGAGTCCGGATATAGTACGAGGTCTTGATGTCAATGTATCCATAGCCTCAAACGTGTGCCTTCACTTCAAGTTTGTCAGGGTCCCTACTTTTGAGCATAAAGTATCGAAAATAATTTTTTGTCATATCAATTGCGGAAGTTGTATTTGAGAGAACAGTCAAGAATATTCAATGACCGTTTATTTTATTTAAAGGCACGAGAATTATGTTACACGAGATTAAATAGCGATAGATTGAACGTTTGTACGTATATATTGAAGTTGTTAACAAGATTCAACTGTTGCTAAGATTCTTTTTGCGATTTTTACTCCACCCAATGAACGTTTGTCGAATTAAAAGATAATTCGACTCATCTATAGCGTATTTTAGCGTAGTCGTGCAAAAATGTAGAGACAGATAGAGAGAGAGAGAATAGTTACTTTTCGATACTAGTGTGAGGTAAATTAACTAAACTATAGATTACCAGGAATCGTATTCTTTGCGCCCTCTGTATGTTACTCGAAAATCCAACTTTCGCGGTTGATATGACAAAAATTATATTTGATAACTTTAACATAAATCATTTACCTCGAATTGCTTTGACAGTTTTCTTTGGGATTTTTTTCGTCCCCTTTCCCCCAGTAAGTGTCATATTGGCCAAATTTTTCTCGCCGATGATGTAGTGCAATAATTTAATTACCAGTCTGGATGGCTTGGATTTATATGTATTGCTCATTATCTCTAGGAATGATACACTAACCCATATTTTACTTTTGAGAATTAGTTCTACCTGTGCATATATATCAATTTAAAAGAAATTTTCGGGGATTTATATGACGTCTTTTTGAATCTACTGGTACAATTAATGTTTTAAAAAATAATAATTAATGTCATAAGGTCACAAGAAGGCGATTTATCGATAACCTCGATATTGTGATATGAGCTAAAAGTTTGTGGCCCGAATATATGAAAACGAGCGTAATTGTGATGTCCGAAACGAAGCCGAGAAAGAAAATTTACGCTTATTTTTTAAAATCAAGTAACAAACTTTGAAAGGAATATCGTAAAATCAAGATTGTGGAAATCGCTACTAAGCGGTCAAATTACACACAATATTTTTTGTCACTGTTACTTTGTAAGCTACACTGAAAAAAAAAATTAACTTGATTCGAGAGAACAAGTTTTGAACCAAGAAAATAATTTAGAAGAGGGTAATTGTCTTGAATCAAGACAAAAAATTAGAAAAACGGTTGACCCTAAAGGCCATCCCTGCAACTTCCCGCTAATTCCATACCTAAGCGCTCAATATATCACTTATTTTGTTTTTGAGCTCTCCAAGCTCAAAAAGATAGCTGTACTATGCTTTTGAGCTCTCCGAAATTTCTAGTTTGATCAATTAAAACTTAAAGATTCTTTATGGAGCTCGAAGAGCTCAAAAACATCATAAATGCAATTTTAAGCGCCTAGGCATGAAATTAGTGGGAAGTTGCAGGGATGGCCTTCAGGGTCAACCGTTTTCCTAATTTTTTTTTTTTTTTATCTATTTGTGTAAATTCGCATAAACTACTAAGGTCATGAACGACTACGGTAGGGAGCAAACTTTTTGTGGTTGGACTCGTTTTTAGGCTGAGAAAAATAATACACTTTAATATTGATAATATTCATTGGTGTACGTCGGGCTCGAAAACCCGGACCAATGCTTTGGTAATAAGTAAGAGCCAGATCCAATAGGCTACTGAGCACCACTTCAACTTGCCTTAAATTTACTTTTACGATTATCGCAATCATTCCTGCGAGATACTGATGGTAGTGAGGCAGGTTCTGTCGTTTGTTTTTCATACAAACATTTGACATATTGCAATAAATTTTCGAGGAAATCGATGTTGTCTTGCGTAACTGTATTTAAACAGAAAAATTAACAATTCTATTAGAATTAAATAAAAATATATACAAGAGAGCAGAGTATCAAAGAACAAAATAAAAATTTGCGGTATAAATGAATTATCGCATTATTTCAAAACTTTATAAAATTTTAAACAGTTAAATGATGAGTTTTATATACTGAAAAATTTTTAAGAACATTTAAAACTTTTTATCTACTTCTAGGAAATTAAAAATCAGTCGTGTTTAAAGTTATTCCAAATAAAATTAGTTGACAACATCACAGAATTGCGTAGAAAAGAATCTAATGATGCTGTTTGCTACTCTACCGAGTCATATTACAGTAAAAAACAGGAGATAAATGTTAGTTAGTATTTATAATATATTTTTCTTACTGATGAGGGAAGAACGACTTTGATCATTATGATCAAAAAGAGTTGGACCATGGGCAATTACGTTTTCAATAAATGACTCTGAACTTCGTCCTTTACGAGCACGTAATTGTTTATTTTCTTTTCCCGTATTATCCTTTAAATACAAAAGTCTTTTTAGATTAAATAATAATTTTTAATTATTGATTATAGACTCTAATGTAATTGTTTCAAATTTTTAGAAGAAGTAAAAACATTCGTCACGAATATCATTTTTACCTCTCAGCTGAAAATGACCCATTACATTTTTCACTTACACGTGTTTTGTCATTGTTGATTTCTTCCTGTTTCTTTGAACTATCATTTGATGCAGTGTCAGAATAAATATCTGAATAATTTAATTTTTCTGGCTCTCTGTTGGACTTTTTATGCATGATCTTACTTTTGGAATTTCCCTTTCGATTATAATTTTTGGATCCACCAGGAGCAGCCTATAAAATTACATAATATAATTTAAATATTATGGAATTTCAATTACTTTTAGTTAAATACTCTTAAAATTATTGAGTGCAAATTCTTTACTAAATATTACAAAATCATACCAAATAAATTTACTGTTGTTGTTATTTTAGGTACTAAATAATATCTTTAGTCGCAATTATTATGTAATATATGTGATACATATCGCGTTACAGATGCCATAAAGGCGAATAAAAACTTTTTTTTTTTGGGAATCGTCTTATCTCCAACTGAGACGTCAAGAAATGTAAAAAAAAATTTATACACCCTTATGACATCTGTAACACGATATGATACATAGAAAATTAGGCAACCATTATTAAATACTTAACTGACATACTTACTTCAATATTCACAGAATTTGGTTCATCTTCTGAATCAGAGCTGGAAATAGGAATAACTCGCTTCCTCCTCTTTCTTACTACACTGGTATCGTCAACAATTACACTTTTCTCCTATTAATCAAAAGTTTCAATAAATTTTAATATCTTTTAGTATTATCAACATTTGACTTATTCATAGTTACTTTTATATATACCGGACTTGGTTCATCTTCTGAATCAGAGCTGGAAAGCAGACTATCTAACTTATTATTTTCCTCTATTATATCATTTTTGTCACTATATGCATCTCCCTCCTATCAATCAAAAGTTTTTAATATGTAATTATATAAATATATAAGATAATATTTATTATGTTTGAAAATTTGTACAATTATAATTAAAAATTCGACTTATTTATTAACTTACTTTAATATGCTCAGGATTTTCTTGATCTCCTATGTCGAAGCTCGAAGGATAAACATTTGACTTGTTATTCTCCACTACTAAGTCTTTTTTGCTGTTCAAATATGATTTCTATAAAGATAGAAATTTTTCATGTATTATAATAGGTAATTTTATAGGTATGCAACACAATATATATCATGAAAGAAACTGTTCAATTATTGTTTAATATTTAACTTATACACATACTTACTTGATGACATTTAGAATCAGTTTTAGGCTTAAAATGAGAGTTGGTTTCAGTAGGAATCGATTTTTTCTCAATTTTTTCTACTGAATCTTTAACTTCATCAATTTTAGTTTTCTTTAAAAAATAAAAATTTAAAGTAGGTTACAGCATGAAATTATATAAATGGCTTAAATTATACAGAAATTTAAAAAATAATAGAAATGACATTTAAAATAATTTAAATTTTAGAACCTGAGAGTCTTTTGGATCACCTCTTATCTCAGAAACTGTTGTATCCTGGCTTTTTATCGTTATTTTATTTTTAATTACCCCATTGTCTCTCCAACGAATTCTTTTTGGTTTATTTATCGACTTATCATCCGTAGATGAGAGATCAACTGTTTGAATAGACTCAATAATGTCAAAGTTTTCTAAAATTTTAAAAATAGCAGAATAAAATTTTTAATTTTTATTAAAAAAAAAAACAGAAAAATAAAGAATTCCGTAAAATTACTTTAGAAATCACAAATTTCACTGAACAAAAAAAAATATTCACTTGTTTTAGTAAATTTATGTCATGGTTAAAAAAAAAATTTAGTTCTTAGAAAAAATTAAATTTTTCACCAAATATTATCCTTGAATCATAATTTTTTCTCTTTTCGTGGACTTGAAGACTGAAAAATACTAACCATCACTTGATTTTTTCATTAACGGCAAAGAATCACATTTTATGTTTTTATCATACTTGGATTTTTGTAGAACATTCTTAATTGACAGAAAAAAAAATTGTATGGTTAATGTTTGAAAAATTATGAAATTGTATTATTTTCTGAAAATCGCATTATCAAATTCAAAATTTTTTCATAGACCGTTTTGTCTTGAAAAAAAGGTTAATGTTTGAAAAATTATGAAATTGTATTATTTTCTGAAAATCGCATTATCAAATTCAAAATTTTTTCATAGACCGTTTTGTCTTGAAAAAAATCGCAAAAATAATTGACCCAGCAAGCTATTCCTGAAATTTTCCATTGGGAACTTCAAAAAATCTGCCAATTACGTACGTTAACAGGTTTTTAGAACAGAGTTATAAAATTGAGCCTAATATTGTGCCAATGTGGCCCTGACTGACATTACAGTTCATTCGTAAATATTTGCTGGATAATGAGATTTACCTTTACTCCTGCAGACACACTGGGTTCATGCTCAATTACAGCTTCGACAACAATTTGTTGTGTGCCACTTTCCGAAGGTGAATTAGTTAATTCTTGGTCAACAGGTCCAAATTTTTCAAATATTGACTTACTTCCTACTAAATTTTTATCTGCTTCGATAGTCTTTTTATCATTCTTTTTCTTTGGTTTCTTTACAATTTTGCCGTCACTATCCAAATAAACTTTTTCCAAAACTTTTTTGTAGTCTAATAAGATAATTAATTTATTAATAATGCATTATTATAGAATTATTATAGAAATATTTTTTATATTACACGAATAATTCCCATACGATAATCGGAACAAATTTAGAAATATTTTAAGAACTGTTTTTATATAGAATAACCCATAATTTTAGTTATCAAATTCAAATCCAGAAAATATTTAACGTTTGTAAATAAATTATAAACTAAAAATTCATAGAAACTATATGTTGCAATTACACACAAACTTCTGTCATTTTAAAATTAAAGCACTATTAAACTCCATCAATACTCAGAGTTTACAAATAAGTTTCGATAGTGTGCTCTATCTGTATTGTATTTAATAACGGGTCAATTTAACTTACTACTTTTTTTAATAAGCTCCGCTTGTTCAAATTGTTTATCTTTTTTTGCCATAAATCTTTTTTTTTTCATGTATTTTAGTATTTTTTGTCTCGATTATAGAAGATGACCGAGATTTGCTCCAAATAACTAGCGAATACATGTTTATCTCCGAAACTTTAAAGATAAATTTATATTATTTATTTTATTGTTAAACGCCACCAACTACAGATGAAAATAGATAATATTTTACTCTTTATCGCCAATATTATGGTAGGTTAGTTAAATTGTCATTAACTATTGATAGAGTTAAGTTAGCAACTTAAATAGCCTTGATATAAATTAAAAATAAAATTGTTTTGTTGCAATGTTCATTTAATTGATGATCAACTATTAATTAGTAACATAATTTAAGTAATATCTCAATTTCAATTAAAAAAAAAATAAAAATAGCTGAAATTGACCGCAGGGATTAAATATAAAAACAAAAATACTTGAAAATATTTAATATTAATAAAAAATAATGAACAAGCCCTTGCATCAATACTCGCGGTCAACGCGATATCGTATGCTAAAAAGAGTTTTAGAAGCAGAGAGAGAAGATCATGTGAGTATTGACGAAGAAGATTATGAAGATGAAAACCATTCTGGTAAGGGTATATACATATAGAGTATTTAATGCTATTCCGACCATCTTTAAACTGGATTCATTTCGATTAGCTTTAATATATTTTATCTTGTTTTTTTTTTTTTTATATTTTTTTATGCAAATAACCGTAAATTTTTTAATAATTAACTTTTTGGGACATTTTTTGTTTAATTTCATTAATGCACTTCTTTTTAAATGATAATCACTCAAATTTTCAAATGTTATTTTTAAGGAAATTTAACTAATATTACGGTACGAAGCTATTGTTAAAAAAAATCAGTTATTTTTCTCAGGAATCGTTGTCTCTGACGAAGACAATGATGATAACAATAATAATAAATAAATTTTAGGGAAATGAAAAGAGGTCAAGTTTAAAATTGTTCGATTTAGCTTGGAATACACTTGTATATAATAATTTGTCCAATAGTTTATAAAAATATATTTTTTAATTTCGCAGAAATGTGTAGTAATTCATCATCACTTGACACGATTAGTAATTCCAGTCACACAAACTTAGAAAATCTCGATAGAATTTGTAAGTTATTATATATATATATATATATATAAAATTACTCACGTGATTATCTGTGTGTGCCGAAACTTTATTGTTTTTATTCAATAATTTGTGATATAAGAATTGAAATTGAACGTTTCATTTTCATTTTAAGTTAAATTATCTCTATTTTTACGTCTTGTTTTTTTTATCTGTATACTTAAGAGGCCAAAAAGCCTGTAAGAATAGGGGCCGAACTTAGCAAAGGTTGAAATGGAAATGAAAAATAGTTCTGAATCAACTAAAGATCGACTGATTTGAAAAATTGTTATTATAACTAATACCTTTATTGGCAAAAAAAACAAAAAAATACAGTGGAAGAAGGACACTGAAATTAAAACTAACGATTTTCTAAGTCAGTCATTCTTCAGTAAAGTCATTGCAATTTGTTAGTCAGCGTTTGCGAGAAATTACACTGTTTGGTATTATTTACAAAAAATTCCAGTTTTGCTCAATATTATTGTGTTATAAATATAAATAAAAAAAAAAAAAAAAAAAAAAAACGATTAATTTCTAAATGATAGAAAAACAAGTTGCAAGAAATATTTAAAAACTCAACAAATCTTATATTCGGCTATTTTATGCATTGTATTCTGGATTATAAACTATTCAATAACTAACATATATTATTTTTTTTTCTCCCTCTATATTTTCTAGTGGCATCAGATAATTTTTTCAACGTTGATGACTGTAATAATAGTTCAGGCGATAGTGACGATGACACTGATGTTGACAGTTGGCACAGCGCCTATGATAGTACAGATTCCGAAGAAGAAAGCGATAGTGACAGCGATAACGAAGAAATCAATGATAATTTAAACTCTCCATTATTTAATGGATCTCCAGTTACACTCGGCGAGAGTGTTTTATCACTACTAATGCTGGTAATACGCCATAAAATCAGTTCTGTTCTGTTAACCGACATTATTAAACTGATTAGCCTACATTGTCCTGCCCCTCACTTTTTTCCAAAATCTTTATATAAATTTCGAAAACTTTTTAGTGGTTTTGACTTGCCCATTAAACGACATTACTACTGTTCGGTCTGTTTTTCAAAATTAAGAAGTTCGGTGGATATCTGTCAACAATGTCCTAACTCGGAACAATGTTATTTTATTGAACTTCCTCTTGTTGCACAATTATTGCGTTTATTCAAGCGTGATGGGTTTTATGATTTATTGAATGCTCGATTTGAAAGACAAAATCATTCTCCTGATGATATAGAAGATATTTGGGATGGTGAAATATACAAATCTTTCAGTGCTCAGAATAAATTCTTATCAAGTCGTAATAATATTTCTTTTACCTGGAATACCGATGGAATCGATCTTTATAAGTCATCCAAATTTAGTATATGGCCATTTTATCTGGTAATTAATGTATTACCTTTCAATGTAAGATCTCAATTGAAAAATGTCTTGATTGGTGGCTTTTGGTTCGGTCCTACAAAACCGAAGGCTAACCTTTTTATGGATGCTTTTCGACAAAGTATTAATACCATTTATCAGGGATTTTTTGTGAAAATTCCAAATTATCAGAACATGATAAAAGTTAGAGGGGTAATAATTTGTGGCACCTGTGATTTACCTGCGAAGGCTTGTTTTTTGAATATGAAGGGACATACCGCTACATATGGCTGCTGCAAATGTAAAATTCAAACAAAAAAAGAAGGTGGGGTTCGAGTTTTTCCTTATGAAAATCAATTAAATTTGAGAACTAGTGAAGAAACGATTCAACAGGGCGAACAAGCATTGGAGACTGGTGAGCCAATAGAAGGCGTGAAAGGTCCTACGACATTATCAAAAATTGTACACGATTTTATTGTTGCAACCAGCATTGATTCAATGCACTGCATTTTTGCAGGTGTATGTAAACAACTCATGCGTCTTTGGTTTGACTCAGAATTTACTAAATGTTCCTTCTCTCTGCGTAATCATATAAATTATGTAGATGAAAAAATTAGAAGCATCAATCCACCTTCTTTTACCCATCGATTACCCCGAAAAATATCAGACTATAAATATTGGAAAGCATCGGAAATGAAGTACTGGCTGTTGTATTATTCACTAATAATTTTATATCCAATTATGCCTACAGCATATTACCAACACCACAAACTTTTAGTACAAGGCATAACCTATTTAAGTCAACACAAAATTTCAAAATCTATGATTGAAGCCGCTTCACAATGCCTAAATCAATATGTTGAAAGATTTCAGGATTTATACGGCCTAAGACACATGACATGTAACTTGCATCAGCTTCGGCATTTGCCGGACGCAGTCAATAAGTTTGGACCTGAGCGTGTGACATCATGTTTTCAGTTTGAAAATTTGAATGGGCTCTTGAGATGTTTAGCAAATGGAACTCGTTATGCTCAGCTGCAAATCAGCAAAGTATTATCAATCTTCTTTAATATAGCTGAATTGAAAATGACACAATTACGTCCTGAAAGTGAAATTACTAACTTTTGTACTTATTTAGAGAAAAATACACGACAAAGGCGTAAATTACAGTATATACGGGAAAACGTAGCAATTATTGGTAAAATTACAAGAGCCATACAGATGCCGGAAAATTTAGTAGACATCTTGGAAGAATTTGGTTTGCAAAATTATCACGATTATTATTTCTTCCACAGACTTTTCAAAAATCGGGTTGTATTTGATTCTAAATCATATGAACGAAAACGGAAAACAATTTCTAATGTTGTAAAATATTATTTCAATGGAGAATTAAAGACCGGCATTGTTGAAACTTTTATTAAAGCATGTAGATGTAATTTACGAGACTGTGAATGGGGCAACTGTGATAGCAATTCAGATTATTATGCAATTCTGGTTAAATGTTATGTATTAGATGTAATTTTACAGGACGAAGTATTAGATTTGATTTTGATTTGCGAAAAGTCGCATGATCAGATGATTGCCGTGAATATTTACCGCCTTGAGAGAGTATGCTATTTTATAGAAAGATCTGAAGATCCAAATACATTTTATGTGGTGGATCCAGTGAATAATGTAGAATTTTACTAACATAATATTGCGTATTTTTTTTCCATGATTATAAAATATTTCATTTAAAAATAAGGCTTTTTGGGAGTTTAGAAAAATAAAATTACGATATTTAATTATGGAAAAGGCATATTCCATGCTTTAATATCATCGATTTTTTTTCTGAATTCTCAGGAATCCTTAAATTATTTATCTTGATCATCATGAGCAAGAACGAGAATAGTCGTTTCATTTATATTCTAGAAGTAACAATTAACGTATGATTGTTACACTGAAATTAAAAGAATACACTGATAAAAAAATTAACTTGACTCAAGAGCCAAAATCTTGAACCAAGAATTGGAGAAAATGATTTTCTTGAGTTGAAAGAATAAATTCTTGAGTTAAGGAATTATTCTTGGTCTAAAAAATTTTTCTTTTTTCAAGAATTTATTTCCTTGAATCAAAAAAATAATTTTCTTAAAAATGGTATTCTTGGCTCAAGATTTTGGCTCTTGAGTCAAGTTAGTTTTTTTTATCAGTGTACATAAAAAAAATTGAATGTATTAGTAAACAGTAAATAGTATACACTTCAATAATATTGTAAATAAAATAGAATTTTTTGTAAATATGAGCTTTAAGTTGAGTTTGCACAAATGCGATAAGGATTGCGATGGAATAATTAAATGTACACAGAATAGCGAGAAATATAATTTTTTAATTTAAAAATTGTACTTATAAAATATGATGAGTTGTTTTAATATTAATGTAGGTTTTACAAATCTATGTATTGAATTGTTGTACTGGTTATAGAATAAACTTTACTTACCTAAAATTGTGTAACTGATTATTTTCACTGCACAGAAAAAACAGTTTCTCTGAAACATTATTATGGAACGTCTAAAAATAGTCTTAAAAAGATCTTTTAAAAATTTTTTTAAAGACTATTTTACGATTTTTTTAAGTCTATTTTAAGATTTTTTTCAAAACTATTTTAAAATGAGCTTACAGCTACAGGGCACGTAAAATTAAAACGGAGCGTCTTAAAATAATCTTGAAAAAATCTTAAAATAGTCTTAAAAAAATCTCATAATAGTCTTAAAAAAATCATTAAAAAATTTTCAGACTGTGTTTTATGGATTATTATAGGGCGTCTTAAAATAGTCTCAAAATGATCTTAAAAAAGTCATAAAATTGTTCAATAACAATTTAAAATTCAATTTAAAAAGAGCGTACTTAAAAATATTGCGGTTAGAAAGTCGTAAAATCGTCTAAAAAATGTCTAAAAATTAATTTTCATAATAAATTCGAGAGCCAAATTTCTAAAAATTTGGTCTCAAAATTTTTTTTTGTTGTCTTAAAAGAATCTTAAAATAGTCTTGGTTTGTGTCACGTTTAAGATCTTAAACGAACGACAATTTTAAGACGATTTTTTTTTACACGGGACCTTTCAAATACTTGCGGTAAACTAATCGCGAGTCGAAACAGAGTTCAAAAGTCTGTTAGAAACTTGATAAGACACTATTTTTTGAATTTTTAAATCGCAATAACTTTTGAATGAATGAACCGATTTTCATGTGGTTGGCAGCATTCGACGCAGTTTTTCAAGCCTCACAAAGAATCTCTTATTTTGAATTGATCACGCTAGGAATTTCGGAGTTATTCCGAAAAAACACTTTTTTCGGTTTTCTTTCGTTCACGATATCTCTTGAACGAATCAACCGATTTTGACCGGATTAGCGCCGATCGGCGTGGTTTTTCAAGCTTAAGGGCGGATTAGTTTTTGAAGTTGATCGATAGAGCCGTTTAAAAGATATTCCAAAAAAACCACTTTCAAAAATGATTTTTTTCTTATTTTTTTTAGATTTTTCAATATTTCTCAAAATCTATCGGTCCAAATCGGTTCAAATTCTCAGGAAATCTAAGTTTGAGGGGACTCTTTAGAACGCCGTTTAGTTTGTTCCGATCGGTTCAGTCGTTCAAAAGTTATAAGTGAGTTATATACTCACACACACACACACACACACACACACACACACACACACACACACACACACACACACACACACACACACACACACACACACACACACACACACACACACACACACACACACACACACACACACACACACACACACACACACACACACACACACACACACACACACACTCGGGGCAGAAGAGATACTGCTACCGTACTACTACTACACTACACACTACACACACACACACACTACACACTACACACACACACACACACACACACACACACACACACACACACACACACACACACACACACACACACACACACACACACACACACACACACACACACACACACACACACACACACACACACACACACACACACACACACACACATACATACAGACATAGTGACAACCTCTCGGGGATAGTCAGGGAAGCTTCCTGTGACCTTCAAACGTCGAGATCTGATGAAAACTCGATTTTTGTAAAACGGGGTGAAAACAATAACTTTCCGATTTTTGAAAATCTGAGATTTTTAGCGGGAAGTTTAAAATTTACTATAATAATTTTCAAAAAAATTGATTAAATTCAGCGCGGGCTGACTGCGACAATTTCTTATTAATCAATTAGAGGAACAATATTTTTTTATTAGAATTTATAATTTGAGATTTAACTTTTATTTTTGTAAAATTGTAGAATATTCATATAAAATTTACGATGTCGGGTATAATGCAGAATTTTAAAAATCTCGAAAAGAATGTCAAACTAAAATTCATGTCCATAAATTTTTCTAAAAATTAATTGAAAAGCTCAAAATAATTTCCGGAATTTGCTCTTCATAAGAATTCTTTTCACTTTTTTGCCTTTATTATTTGGTAATTACTTTTAGAATTAAATATTCCTAAAAATATTCACAAGAAGAAAATCATAAATAAATAACTTGGTTTTATTTTTCGTCGTGTCTTTAATCATTTAAGACACTTTTTAAACTTAGTACCAAAAATTACCAACAGGTGGCGCATTATCGCTAATAATTCTCGCTGCAAGATACTTTACTCAGATTTAATAAGTTCTAATCATGGAAATATTATAAGTATTACTTTTTGTTGTATTTAAGATCAATTTTGTCTTATATTATTTAACATTATATTTAATATACTTGAAATTATTAAAAATAATTAATGAAGCTATATCTTCGATAGTTTAGCAAACAAAATTCAGAAAAATGTCAACTTGCATTTAGTTGTCAAATTTCATTGTCTCTTGATCTTATTTTATGCATTCAATCATTTTCCAACAACAATTTCACACGTTTAATAATTGCATTACGCTACATGAGAATGTGGACCGGAATTTAAGTAAAATAAAATCAAAATTTGTCTACTTCGATGTAGACAATCGAGCAATGTTTTAATTTGCTAGGACTCGTTTAGTTGCTTTGCTATAATGTCGAAATATATACAAAAAAGACACAAAAAACAAAAAATATAATGAATGATAATTACTGGTACTTTTGGTGCATATTGAAGAAAATTAATCAAAATTTTACTTTTCGAAGTGATTTTGCATGCCTTAAGCGCGAAGCGCGCAGGTATGCTCTACTCTCGCCTAAAAATCGTGATTTCGATTAAAATGTGATTTTCATAATTTAAACGAAAAAAATTATGGATAAAAAGCATATTAAAATAAATAATAGTAACTATAGAACACATTAAAAAATTTTGTTATCGATTAAATAAGATTTTTCAGAAAAATCCCGTTTTTCTGATGAATTAAATGAATAAAAGCGTGGTATTCACGGGAGCTATGGGCTTGACAACACCACAACTTTGTCAAAAATCACTTTCACGATTTAATTTTTTTTTTTTTTTGTTTCATTCCTAAGGAAGTTTATCAAAACCCTTGTGAAAATCGCGTGTCAAAATAATTCCGTTTCGATACAGTTAATTTTTTTCGATTGTCAGTTCGGTGACTTTTTCTGTGATTTCGGCAGCCATATGTATTATTTTTCATAAACAGAATTGAAATAACTATGAACAAGCAGAAACTATACACACATGATGGTATAATTACTAACTGTTTTATCATCTGTTAAAATTTTTCTTTATTTCGACCTGCAGAGGGGATAATACTACTCGCAGGAAAATTCAAATTAAAAACAAATAATTTTTGCTATGATCTAAATAATTTATGTATGATATGAGCGCTTAAGGCATGCTCATTTGGATTTTCCAAACTTTTTGATTTTTCTATCAAAGCATCTTGATAATAGTAGTAAAAAATTTGACAAAAAAATTTTTATAAACTCGATAACGTTGTTGTCTGTGTAGTCTTTTAGTAATTAATCATTCGGTAATTAATCTTAGAACTAAATATTCCTCCAAATATTTGTAAGAAGCAAAATATAAAAAAGTTACCTTGGTTTCATTTTTCGTTGTATCGTTCACCTTTTAAGACAGTTTTTAAACTTAGTACCAAAAATTACCAACAGGTGGCGCATTGTCGCCAATAATTCTCGCTGCAAGATACTTTACTCAGATTTAATAAATTCTAATAATGGAAATATTATTAGTATTACTTTTTGTTGTGTTTAAAGTCAATTTTATCTTTTATTATTTAACATTATATTTAGTATACTTAAAATTGTTAAAACTGAATTATCGTAATTCGTTGAGTATTTTTGATTGTACTTAATTATTTTTTTACAGCAATTCTAAAATTTCAATAATTAAGTTATGTTGAACGAAATTCCGATCTAAAATACGGAAATATAATTTTGGCCTTGATAAAAAGTCTCAATTTTTATACTTTTCGGTACTTACTTTCATAATGATTTGGTTTGGCCGTTGAATTTTACTTTATTTGTTATAATATCGTAATATATACAAAAAGACACAAAATTAGTTCAAAAATACAATTATTGTGGCTGTAAAAGCCGGATATATATTTTTTATAATCATCTTAATTTTTATTGTGTTTCCACTTATTTGTAATGTTTTTTATTTGAATTAAAATAATTTATTAACCTCATCTTTAAATTTACCTCA